TCTGTTTGAGCTGTGATCCAGGGAGAGGGCATGGGGGAGGGGCGGGTGACCGTGACACATGTGTACACGCACACAAACACGCACACGCACACGCACACACACACACACACACAGAGAGAGACAGAGACAGAGAGAGAGAGAGAGAGAGAGCTGTCAGAAACACATGATCTACGTCGGGGTTAATTAAGAACGTGCTCCGAGGTGGTCAGGTCAAATCAAATATCAACACAGTTGTAAAAAGCACCTGCTAATGGTTTACGGGTGTGTCGTCACTTATCAACGTCTGCTGTCAGCAAGTTGATCGTGTGTAGTGGATAGAAACTACAGCGCTGTCTGCCCTTTCCCCCATGTTATTGTTGTAGGCTACTATACTTAAGCAACATTTAAATTTAAAAAAAATAATTTTTTGATAGGTCTGAAGAAACATAATTTTTCAAATTTGCTCTTGACTTTCAGTGGTCTGCGGTATGGTCATGTTGATGACGTGTAAAAAAAATGCACATAATCATTGTATCTATCTTTGTCCATGGATGGCGTGATCATTTTTAAAATAAAATGAAAGACGATAAAATGTTAATTGATTTGGGCAGTATGATTTGAAATTCGTGAAAGGCTATTAAGTTGTAAAACTAAGTGTTGTTTCAGCATGCAACGTCAATATCGTAATTACACTACCCATTCGGGTCTTTCGCTTCCCCATTCCATTATGACAGCCAGCTGTTTATTTAGTACGCAGAGCCCATAAGAAAGAAAAAATAAATACGCAATATAAAACAAAACCACCCCCTCCCCCCCCAAAAAAAAGCGTGGAAGAATTAATTACTTTTTTTCCAAATAGGCCTACGGAGTTGTATTCACATCATATTGGGCTGACGATAGCAGACAGCTTACAAGCTGTTTGGCCATAGAGTTCTTATTTTCCTTAATGAACATCGAGAATAACCTCTTGATATTACCATCTTAATGGTTCAAAACTTTCGTTACAAATTTGAATACCTGCGATTTATTTTGCTTTCCCGATGATGGCAATAGGTCATAAACATGGACAACCCATAACTGATTACCTTTTTTATCTTTCCATTGCCCTAACATTTTTGCAGCGAATTTTCTCTTTTGACGCTGGACATTTTGTCCCATTGCCAGACCTATTGTCGGATCACAAAGGCTGTTGTCACCTCTAAAGGCCGTTCACCTGTGATCATTTGATATCCTTGCTTTTTATTGTTATTACTGGCTTTGGCGTCAGCAGCGTATACTTTATAGTTTAAACACTGAAAAGATTGACCTTGAAAATTATTTGTATGATTTTGTGCTTGTTTTTGTTGCGGCGCATGTGCTGGTCCCCCCTCTCTCTCCTCCTCCTCCTCCTCCTCCTCTCTCTTCTCTCTCTCCCTCTCTCTCTCTCTC